GCAGACCTCACAAGCATTTTAAAAATCAAAGCAGATTTTCAGTTCATCCAGTAACACAAAAGTATTCATTGTCCACTTATCTTCATTTGGTGCTCTTCCATCTGAAGCACCTCTCTCCAACCCAGATATTTGTGACCAGAAATCTACTGTGTTTTGGGTAGTTAGTAATTCATTACAAATAATGAATGCGTTTGCATTCAAAGTGAACATCTCCTAGACAGCTGTTATGCTGAAATTTATTGGCAAGTGCTAATTTTTGAATAATTATGAGCAAATTTGAGGAAGGGGTTATAGAATTATTTTTAAACAGTGGAAGGCTTTTTTAGTGCCTCCACAGCCTCTCCTGGTGATACATTGCTGACTTAGAGCTGCCTCAAACTTTATGTGTGGTTTAGGTTTGCTGCGGTAACCATATATGATGTGAAGGAAAGATGGGCACCCATAAACATTTGAGAAACTGGTGTCCTGGCTTGTGCCCACTGTTTGTTTAGAAATATATACCTGCCATTCAGGCCTATGGAACCTGTTGTGTTTTCAAGGTGTTTTCTGGGACCTGTGTGTTTTCTGGTTGGTGGAAACACATTAGTTAAGATCAATGAAACAATCTTACAAGACACAGCATCTGACGAAGAAAAAGAATTCAAATATTGTGCAACCATAGTAAAGTGTGGGGAAAGATGTGGTGAAGGGCAGAACTGGAAGTGGATGCGTGTGCACAGTGAGAGAGAAGATATCACTCATTCTCTGTCAGGAAAGGGGGAAGTGTCTCTTTGCTTTTGCCTTGCCTGATTTTGGCAAGATAAATCCTTTCCCAAACTGGTTGCTGATGATGCACAACCAAATACTTGTACAAGTTCAATCCAAACAATCTACATACTAGAATGCAGAAACACAGATACTGAAGGAAACGAACGCCCCCCGCCCCCCACTGAGAATAGGGTTCTGCTCCACAGATTAAGTGGATCAGATTTCTTTTGAAATTTTAAAGAAGTGATCTGTAGTACAACTCTGCTTTCTCATCATCTTGGGACCTTAACATCTGGGGGAGAAGGTAGGCCAGAAGAGAAGCTGTTGGTTTGCGCATGTCCTCTCTGATATGTCTATATAGGTGCAGTTTATTTCTAGGACCTTGGGTCTTGCACATGTTTTTCAGATGTCAATTTTTTCCTCTTATTTATTGGTGTTTTCTCCTTTCATTTAACTCCACTAGTTTGTTTAATAAAGCTGAGAGTTCTTGCAGAGAGCTTTATAAACACATGTTATTAGATTTTTAAACCTCTTTTGAAAGTGCCTCTATCCTACTTCCTCCTAGTAAAGTGACCTTTTTAAATGGAGGGAAGTGGGTTTAGATGACAGTCATGATAAATGCGGTCATGTTCACTCAATAAAATAAGGCCCAGTGCATTTGAGGATAAATCAGTGAAATGTACAACCCCACCTGTCTGTCTCCATCATTCATTTCCACTGTCACTTTCACAGTGGCTGATGGATCACAGTTGCTGTAAAATTAGACAGCCTTTAATCTCATTTCATCCTGATTAGCTTCTCTTTACCCTTTCCCTCTAACTCACTGACTGACACGCTAAAAACTCACACTGGGCTGTGTTTGAGCGTGGCGTACAAACTTCTTTTCCAATACCTTTTTTGGAGGGGAAGAGAGGTACTCACCTGAGATGAAATGAAATGTAAAGATGAGGGAATCTGAGACTCATATTAAAATAAATCAGCAAAGCAGAGGACAGTGTGCAATTAATAAGAGCAGCTGTCTGCATCAGTGGACTACACATTGGCCCATGCTTTGCATTATTTACACCCATGAATTCTTAGTGAATGTAATAAGTTGGTCTAAAAGGCATCCTGGGGCAGGAGGGATGAGGGGCAATGTAAAAAGTGTTGTTGCTTCCTTCAGAATGCAGAAATGTGTCATATCATACAGAAAGTTATTGTAGGTGTGCCTAGTGGAACCTTTAAATTTTGGTGAAGGGCGGCAGCTTCTGTCTGAAAAATACATACTCCCAACAGAGCCAGTAATGTAGTTCTCTGAATTGTAACATGCTCTTTTATAAGTTACATTTTGGAACCAGAGTGTTGTTGTTGTTTTTTAATCTGAGTGACATTTTAGAACTTTTATTTCTGCTTATTCCATTGCAACTTTCACTTGTGTCATTGGAGTGATCATAATACCGGTAATTTTACAAGTCGGATATTCTACCATTTTTTACACATGGCATCAAACAAACGGAGTATTATTGGCCATATATTGTTGCCACTTAGCTCTGAAAGCCGTGTTTAAAGAAGTTTTGCTGCCTTAGTACATTACATGCTAAGAAGCATGCCCAACGACAAGGAAATCACTTCTGCATGATTCAGATGCATTCTGCACGGGGTGCGCATGCGACCTGCTTTAATCCAACCAGGAAGTGCTTATTTGAAGAGCAGTATAAATAAAATAACATAAGAACATGGGCAGGGGTGATCACATGAATATTTCACATGGAACTGGCAACCTGTGGGGAAGCAAACAATTATTCACGTGACCACCCTGCCCAACTTCTACGATTTGGCATCGCTGTACTATGAAGTGGTTCCCCCATGCTTCTGGGTATGCAATTGAAAGGTGCTGCAATGTAACAGGAAAGGAGCCTCAGATCCGCTCTTAGTATCTTTGGAGTAAATATGAAGGGTCTCCAGATCTATTTTGAGTGAGTATTTTGTCATGAGTTAAAAAAGAGGCAGAACTTGCTTTTCATGATTTCATGTGATCTGAAGAAGGATTCCACAACATGTGAGGCAGAAAACAAGCACAGATCACCACCAGTGTATTGTGGCCTTGTTTCTAGTGGGCTGCTCACAAGTTGCTCAGGCCTCCTCTTAAGGGAGAGGGTTTTAGTAATGCATGGAATGATGGCATTACATTTAACTTGCAGAAGAAAGCTTACCTGTGGGCTCAAATCTCAGACTTGCCCCTGAGTTATAAATTAACATACTGGCTGTTGTGAACTAATACGAATATAAATCTACACATGACATTAAGCCATTCTACCTATCAATACATTTTCCAAAGCTATAGTTCTTAAGCTTCATCTTCCAAAATATCTCATTGACTTACGTGGAACAACTGTGTAAGTAATTTGAAAATTAACAGTGTCTATGTCTGGCTGCTTAATGGCTGTATAAGATCTACCAGCAATAAGTAACATTAATTAATGCATTTTCACTAGCCTAGCTGCCTAACAATTGCTTTTGCTTAGGCAGCTGTACAACCACAGACTATGAAAATGATGTTTGACCTTTACTGGAAGCTAAATTTGCACCTTGCTTATTCACCATTGCATAGGCAAAATAAATAAAATAAAATAAAAATCAGTAAGAAGCTTAAACAAGACTACTTGATCTTTAAGAAAATGTGTCTTCAACAAGAAAGCTGCACATATTTCTTATTGTTATTTGCATATGCTATACGGCTTCGAGTGCATTGAGAAAAATAAAAGATAATAAAACAAATGAAATGAGAGATATATCACCCAAAATAATCCAAGTGTGAGATAGGCTGCCTCTTTTTTTGGCACTGGCAAAAGAGCACAAAGTAAAAGCTGGCCCTGAGTCATATTGATTTCCCACTGCACTGGTTTCCTAAGTGCTCTGTTGATCCATTTCAAGCAATAAGTTCCCTGCCTGTACATGCACATCACCTCCCCATTTGTCCTCACCTAGATTTAAGGTGCCCATATGATGAGCTGAACAAGGACATTATTTTTCCTACTGGTGACACCGGGCCAGAACTACTGCATGTAGTATGATAGCTAAACCTGTGTAAGTATGCATTTCAACATACGATTTTTGATAGTGTTGCATTCCACAGAGCAATACATATTATGGCATTAAAATTGCATATTTTTGTTTTACAGCTCTAGCCTTGGGAAGGGGAGGGGGATGAAACAGGAAAAAAAGATTTCCTGCTTGCCTCTCCCCTCCCATCCCCTCAAAATAATCCCATCCTCTTTAAAAAAAAAAAAGGATGTTGCAACTATAGTAAAACAGTTTTGATCTTTCAACAAAGGGCTCCCTGATTAGATGGATGGAAAATGTCTGATTGTGCTGCTAATGACATTGTACAGGAAATTAAGCGTATACATTTGGAGAAGGCATTAAATCAGCAGGACCTTAATTTAAAAACTTAAAACTGTATGGAAATGCAGCTTGCTCATTGCTGTGTAAGAGAAAGCTGCTGAATACTTTGACTCTTCTTATGGAAATGTTGCCAACAGAACTAAGCTTGTGGAGGGTGTTTTCTTTGTTTTTTGCAGTGCTGCTTTTATTTAATCTTCTTGCTTTTTACATGGTACTTGCAGGACACAGTTGACAATTGCAGGTTTAGCCATGTCTCTTTCATTTTTAAAAAAGTTGCAAACCTGCTACAAAGTATATTATTGGCCCCTTCAACTACAGCATACCTGGGGTCTTGAAGACTACTCAGCCCACAAGTTGTGCAATAGCTGACGACACAACTGTGACAGGCTTGTGAAGTTGCATTTGGCACCCCCTCAGGAACTGCAAGCCTGGAGGAGCTGTTATGACAGCTTCTGTGTATCATAAATCACACTAGCAGCTGTTAAAACAGACCCTGGGCTGTGTAGTCTTAAGATCCCACGTATACCTGTGTTTGCTGGGATTCAGCTACAAGTGTTGATGCTGAAGAGATCAGCACATCATAGCCCAGTTTGGGATAGTGCGCCTGGAGCACCAAAACATGACAGCAAGCAGATACAAGGGAAGGGAATTGGTGGTGATTTAATCTGGTTATTTTTTCCAGTTTCTCCAAAAGGGATATCATAAAGATGGGATACCAGCAACTTTTAGTTTACTTGACATATGTACTAGAACTGAAGCATACTAATATTATGTCTGCATTTATGGTTTGGAGCTTTCCTGAAGTAAATGTCTCAAAGCAGCCATTGTATGAAATGGAGCTTGATAAAGAATACCTGTTTTGTTCACAGTTATGCCGTATAATAGTGCCCACCATTGTGTTGTGGAAGTAGAAAATTTCTTGTTCGTATTGGGAGGAGAAGACCAGTGGAATCCTAATGGTATGTACATAACAACTAATGGAACTATAAGAATATGTGAATAGTACAGAAGTACAAAATATCCATTTGCAGATGTACCTCAAGTTATTTGTCTTCGGTCATATGACTGCAGCCATAGATCTTATATACCCACAGTCAGCTGCCCTTCCGGTGAGATGCTGTTTAAAGGAGTTTGTGAATTGCAGTTTCATGTCCCTTTTTATGTATGCAAACATAAAAATATTCTGTATCTGCAAAAAAAAATGTAGTATGCGAATCTGCCTATTAGGCTGTGACCCTAAATTCACTTGCAGCAATAGAACCCCTGGATGAAGTGAACTGCCAAACAGCTCACAATGGCACATTCGGACATTATGCTAAACCATAGTTGAACATTATGAGAGTGAGCCACAAACCTGGACTAACACATTCATACCTCCTCTGGCGGGTCCCCACGGAGTTCAGAAAGTGGTTAATGCTAACAGTGGTTTGTTTTCAATAAGCCAACTTCATAATCCATGATTTGACGTTGGCTTGTTTCAAACAAACTATTGTTAGCATTAACAACAGTTCATTGGGTTCAAACAGTATGATAAGCTGTGGTTAAGCAAAAACAACTCCTCCTAGTGGTCATGCCAAAGTGTGAGCATGCAAGGTTGAATCTTGCTGCAGCTTGTTCTTGTTATGTTAAACTATGGTTTTAGTGTGATATCTGAACAAGATCAATAAAACTGATTAAAGCAGTTTTGTTTTGTTCTTGCAAAGTTCCATTAAAACTCTAAGGCCGCAGTTCTAGAGAGCTATGTCATGCAGAAGAGATACACAGCCTCATGTACACAGTCAGGTATTTTTAAGGTCTTGCTGAAGCCATTTGTATACTACACTTAAGGCCAATTTTATGTTTAGAGACCATTTCAAGCTGAAAAGTGAAAATTTTGAAACACAGAAATGAAGGCCCTATGCTTCAAAAGCTAACTATGTTCTTTCTCACCCACCCACCCACCCAGCCAGCTAACACAGTAAGTGGGCTTGGGAACTGAGTGCTACCCAAAAACCCAAAAAGCTTGAGGACGCTGTCAACAGCATTCTGTGACATACCAAGCCCTTCACCTGTAGCAGAGAAACTCCACATATGGTGGGAGAATATTCCACAGGAGCAATGAATGCTTTCATGTGAGGAACTCTGTGTACACGTTCTAGTTCCTCTCCATGGGCAGCCAAACTGCTGATTTGAGGCTTTGGTGCCTTTGTCATTCAAGCTACCACATCTTCTTTATATGTGTAGACAGTGTTTTCCAGACTAAGGCATTTCATGGCAGCTATTAGGAGTTTTTGGGACGCGGGTGGTGCTGTGGGTAAAAGCCTCAGCGCCTAGGGCTTGCCGAACGAAAGGTCGGCGGTTCGAATCCCCGCGGCGGGGTGCGCTCCCGCTGCTTGGTCCCAGCACCTGCCAACCTAGCAGTTCGAAAGCACCCCTGGGTGCAAGTAGATAAATAGGGACTGCTTACCAGCGGGAAGGTAAACGGCGTTCCGTGTGCTGCGCTGGCTCGCCAGATGCAGCTTTGTCATGCTGGCCACGTGACCCGGAAGTGTTTCCGGGCAGCGCTGGCCCCCGGCCTCTTGAGTGAGATGGGCGCACAACCCCAGAGTCTGTCAAGACTGGCCCGTATGGGCAGGGGTACCTTTACCTTTTATTAGGAGTTTTAACCAGCATTTCATGCTTTTATATTATTTTATTTAGAATTTTTTCTACCCTGCTCTTGAGCTGAAAAAAATAAATCTTGGTTTACAGATCAATACAAACAAATCAGACCCTGCCCTCAGCCTTGCAATCTAAAAGGCATGACACAAAAGGAAAATAGATTAGGAGGGAGGAAGAAAAAGCACAATGAGGTAGTGGTTCTTAGTTACAAGCTCTTCTGAGGACCAGCTGGTAGGGAGACAGCTCAAAGAGAATAAGAGCCAAATGTGCTGGTCTCAGCTGTGCTGATGAAATGGCCCTGCATCCCTTCTCTTCCATCCTGTACCACAGCATGACGGAAGGAGGACCCTGGCTTCTCAACACTCTGTGTATTTCTTACTGCAGTAAAGCAATGTTTACAGTCAGTGCTTTTCTTCCAGTTCCAAGCCAGTCCCTTCCAGGTAAAATGTTATGTATGCAGTATCAAAAGACTGTTTGATTGTTCCACTACACATTTATTTCTAATCTTGTGCAAGGGATTCACATAGAGATTATCTAGTAGTATGTGTTCCTTATTTGATTACTTCATAAATTTTCTGCAGAGAGAAATTAAACAATTTAACAGACTTCTGAACAAAGCAAAAGAGAACAGTATGCCTTGCAAAATTTAAAATATTGTCAAGACATTGTTGAAGAGCTTGCACATGAGGACAGAGTTGCAGTTGTAGCAGTCTGTGTAACAGAGATAATTATGACTGGCAAACTATAAAACAGCTTGCAGGTACACATTTTCACTTCAAAATGCCAGAAGATCCAGCTGAAATTACATATACTGCATATATTTTATTGTGAAAGACCCATTTCAGCATCTGCACTAAACCAAATTATATCGAAGCGTTACATCTGTTCCTTTCCTTGAAAACTGAGATAAACTAGTCCATTCCATGAGCCTGTATCCGGTAGGTTTTTTTGGGTTTTTTACAAAAATTATTTAAATCAATGTTTTGGAAGAATAGCTTTTCTACTTTATTCCTGAAATGCTACTGCACAAAAGGTTGCATATAATTACTTCTAGAACTGTAACCTATAGAACTAGTTTGAAGACTTCTGTTGCAACTCCCCAAGCCTTCTCCCACGTTAAAATACCCTTGAACCCCCCCCCCCCAAAAAAATTAGATGGCACTCTTAGCAGAAACAGTGGCATGGATGGGGTATCTCCCCAGCTTTAGAATTCACACTTGAGTTGCCTCTGATTTTTCATGATGGCTAGAGTAGAGCTATGTGGAGCACTGACCTGCAAAGGGAAGCATTGTACAGGAACACCTAACTGCTGGGCTACTTTGCCCCACTTCTTTTCCTTCCATCTCATTTTAATAGTGGCAAGGTAGTTTAATAGCGGCAAGGTAGTTTGCCTAACAGGGCAGCATATTAGCAGGGTGGGAGTCTGCTTAGCCCTGCCTCCCCAAACAGAGGGCATCTGAGTGAGATCACTGGTCCATCTAGCACAGTCAAGCTCCCTATTATTCAAAGGAGCCCTGCTTGATTTCCCTATTAAATGTGGCGCTGCTTATTTACCATGTATTTCAAACGGCTATGTAGATCACCATTCAGTGCTAAGTTGAAAGGGAAGGAAGAATGTGAGGAACAGTTTCCAGCAAGGGATTAAGAGGAGGAAGGAAGATTTAGAGATCAGAGCAGGTGTGACTAAGGAAAGATACAAGTAAGTAAGTGTTGAAAGAAGGGGCTGGGGAAGGCATAGATGGAAGGTGAAGAAGGAAAGAGGGAGAAGCATAATTGTGGGCGGTTGGAAGGGGGTTTTTGTACATGAAGGGAATTGAGGGGCATTGTTCCAGAAAAACATTGAATATAGATTACTGATGAACAGAATCTCTGGGATAACTTCCACTGTTAGAATTGTTGTGTAATTAGACATTCATATATGAGAGCTGCTTAACATTACTAAAATATTATCTTAAGTACTCAAAGACCAGAATGCACAATTTGCTCTCCTTACAGACCTTATGGTTTCCTTAGCATAGAATGGTGAGATTTGGGACACATTATATGTGCAGTCTGAAATTGTCTGGTAACTAAGTTCTCCACTTGTTTGGACTCGTCGGCTTTGCATGTTCAGTCCCGTAAATAGCATCTACCTATGCTGGATGGAGAATACACTGTTTTCACCCTCACAGGTGTGGAATTTTCATTTCACTATGAACCATTTTTTTAGATCAAACCTTGAAGGCCTGTTGGGTAAGAATCTCTGTTAGAAATTTAAAAAACACCAAAGAGACAAAACTGTATTTTATTGATTAATGCAAATTCAGTGTATAAAGGAAAGAGGTTGTAAGCATTTGGGGTTCCTTTACACTAAAATTATTTACCTGGTGCACTACCCACTACACATTTATTTCCTTCTGAGATACATGATTGGGTTGTCATGTAGCTGTGATTCAATTTTTTTTAGTCACACATATAAGAAACAAGAGGGCTTTTTGAGATACTTGTGTGCTGAAGGCTCAGGTGTTAAACATAAATTGCCATGCAATCCCTTGCTCCAGTCTTCTTGCTTTGATGTCAATCTGTATGTAAAATATACTGCAATCTTAATATCTTGAAGGCATGCAGTGCCAGAGGTTAGTAGTCAGGATAATGTAGACTTCCACAATTAGCCTTTGCTTTGTTTTGCTTTATTTGTGACTTAGGGACACTAGAAATACATTATTTTTAGATGGCACATATAAATCCTTCTAAAAGGCAATATTATAAAAGGCAGTATGTATTTTCCTCTTTTTCCTATATGGGAAAATCTCAAGATTGTAACATCAAATCCCTAATGTAAGGATGCCTGAGCACTTGGCAAAGTTGTGTTCACCTCCCTATAAGCAATCAACATCACCCTCTTCCCATTGCAAACTGGGGAGACAAGAAAGAATGTCAGATATACCCATGGTTCTACAGATTGCTACAAAATATTCATGAAATGCCACGAGAAGCCCTTCTCCCTCAGAACAATAATTTCCTATTGTCATAAGATTTATGACACTTAAAAAAAAATGCTAGTGGGTTTCTGTCTTAAAGAGAGACTTGAGGGAACCTTATGAGACAGAGCTAAAATACTTTGTTTTTTACTACTTCCATAGATACCTATTAAGAACTGTAGTTAGAGGCTGTTGATTTTGTGTGTTTACGTGCTTTGCTCTAGAGAGAAGACCTCCATAAAGATTGACAAGAGAAAGGAATATACTATTGCAGTGATTTGTAATGACAGAAAACAGAGAGTTAAATCTGAAACTAATTTCTTTACAGGAAAGCACAGTACAAACTTTGTTAGCCGGTATGATCCTAGATTTAACAGCTGGATACAACTTCCACCCATGCAAGAGAGGTAAATGCTTGCTATATATTTGGGGTTGGGGAAAGGGTGGCTGTTTTACCTAAGAGAGGAAGATGGTTGGGGTTTAACTTAGCAGTGAAAATGTGAATGGTGAAAGTGTTGAAACTGATTTGCACTAGCAAATAAAATATAATAGTGCTAGATTATCTTTCTGCTGACAAGAAGGTACTTTCAAGTAAAAGCTGAACTGCTACATCCTTTTCATAGAATTGTAGAAACAGTGTTTCTTTCAAATCTCTGAACTATTTCACAATTACTATTTTCTATTATATTTTTGCTTTGCTTTCATTGAATTTCAGCATGCATTGGCAGAGCAACCATTCCTTGCCTTTTTGGTCACTTAGGCTGGTAATGGCAGCACCCGCTAGGTCCTGTACCTGCCCACTCCATATAATCAGGTGGTAGAAGAAGCTGGCAGAAGCACACTGGGGAAGATGAGAGGTACCCAAAGGTGGTACCTTTCTCCCTTTGTCCTGAACCTTCTCCACCCACCATAAGCATTCTTTGCTCCCCAGCCATTTTACTTATTAAAGTAATGTATTAATCTATCGTCTTGTTTAATACAATGTCAGGGTGACTGTGAAAAGTTCAGACCTCAGGTAAGCATGGAGGTGTTCAGTAATCACACTAAAAAGAAGCCAAATATAAAATAAGGAACAGTGAAGGACCAGAAATCAAGCACCTAAATGTATAAAATGTCTTGCAAAACTTTAAACCAGATTAAAGTGGGTATGTATAATCCACTTCTACACCATGTTGTTCAACCTCTTCCATAGAGAGAGACTTGATTAGGGACTCCCTAGATTTTAGGTTGGGGAACGGTTATAAATATGTAGTTATTATGCAAGCCATTATCCAACTCCTAATACAACACAGATGCACAGTATATAAAGCTTTTGGGGATACACTTTAGCTAGGACATCCATAAAAATTGAAGATGTTCAGCTCGTTATCCAGTTGAACAAATCTACTTGTCACAGCCTCACTGCCTCTAACTTAAGGCAGATTTAGTGTCTGTAGAGCTTGTACCATGAGGGTTTTAAAAAAAAAAAATGGACAGCTTTAGATTTTTCTTATAAGCCTGTCTGATATTTAAAATATCATTTGAAGTATTTAGAAGTCCAAATTCTGTTTCAAAATGGTGTTCTAATTATCAAAACCCTTCTTTGCCGGGCTCTTAAAGTGAGATAATTAACCTTCACCCTCTTAGCTGAGCCTACATAATTCACAGTGATCAATTATTTCAGTGTTGTACGAGCCTCTGAGGATAAGACAGTATTGCTGAAAATGTGATTAGACATTTTAAAATATGTGAATTGTTTACTGACTAGTCCCTTGTGACTTCTTTGGAGACTTCCAATTTATTAAGTCAAGTGCCTTTCAAGACAGTTTTTAGTCATTCATATTCTTTAATAAAGAGCTTTTATTCTCTCCTTTTTATGACAAAATGTGTGCAATAAGGATGTTTTTTTTCTCCTCCTGTGAAGCAATAGTTTGTTTGTTTATAGTGCTCTATAACAAAGTTCTCAGGATGAGTGACAACAACAAAACTATTAAGAATTTATTTAACAATATATTTATTATTTTATTTAAAATATTTATATGCTGCCTTAAGAAGTCAAAACTCCCTCAAGATTGCTTCTATAAAAACAGTAATTGTAAAGATAATGCAGTATAATCGCAAATAAAAAATGAATAAACCAGTAATAATAAGACAGGCAGACATCAAGTTTGAAACTAAAACAAATATAACCAAGACCCACTGCAGCAGAAAACATAGCAAATAAAAACTCCTTCAAGAAAAATTCAGTAACACTAAAACATGATAGGGAATAAAATTCTGTGACCCTGTCTGGAGAGCCCATCCACATGAATCATTCTCTGGAGGGAGAGAACATGGATTCACTTCTTCCCCAATAAGTATTCAGCCAACCATCTGTTGGGCATTGCAGAGTCTGTACGTCTGCACAGCACTGCACTGGGTGCTGAATACTGATCAAAAAGGGCCTCTGCAATGAAGAGTCAGTATTAGTTAGTTAAGAAAACTGGGACATGATCCATTTATGTCCTACTGATTTCATTGGGAGGGTTAAGTATGCATTTAACTTCCTCCAATTGAAATTAATGCAAATTAAATACTTTATTTTTTGCTGGATTTTTTAAAAAAAAATTGTTATAGTACTGGACTTCAAGTGCAATTGCACCCTCTTTGTGATGTAAATTGGCCTTTGCGCTGAAGTCCTAGCTATTGACATAGTTGGTACAATGCTGATGAGGCTGAAAATCTGTGACTTAGATGTACCCCACTTTAGCACATGAGCAAGTTTCCATACAAAGCCAGCCCAGCAGTAACAGGTGGTCAGCTCCGCTCACCTGGGGGGCCATTTTGCTGAGAAGTTGATGGAGGGTGGCGACCTGCCTCCCCACCGTGAACTTTCAGAAAGTCCAATGGCTACAGCTATACCACCTCCAAAGAAATGGTTCAGAAAATGAAAGCAGGAAAAGGAGCATGGCGGAAGCAAAGAAACATCGGAGAAAATGGCTGTCTAAAGCAGCACAGAACAGTTTGAAAGGCTATATTTTCTTTTATGAGTTCTCTGCAGTCCCACACATGGGGATGCGCCTACACAGATAGGATTTTCCATGCCCTGGAAGATTTGTTTCTCTTCTGTATTCCAAGAGACCTTCAAGGAAGCTAACAATGTAATAAATTTAGTTTTCAGTTGTTAAAAACAGCACAATATAACATCCAGAATTTCAAAACATCAAGAAGCACATAGAAACATAGAGTAGCATAAAAGAGGCACAATATGGCCTGGCCAAACAGTGGCTTGTAAATTGGAATGAATGGAACAATTTTTCCTGCAAAGTATTTGGCAAACTCATCCTGAAAGGCTCCGTTGCAATAGCTCTTTGACCACCTAGAAAAGCTATGTTGGATGATTATGAGCAGATGCAGTGGTGACACAAAAGCCATCTTCGCCATTATCACTGTCTCACAGATTAAGTTATAAAATGGGTCCTGGCCTCTGTTTTATTCAATCCTTTGTAAGTCTTCTGCTATGACTCCTACTGTTTCATCACCACCAGTTCCATGGACTGCCATAGAGCTAGCTTAACTCTACATAAGAACAGGCTGCTGGATTGCATGTTACATGGGGGTTTTTGTGGGTGGGTGTAAACAGTGAGGTCAGAAGGAAATGTAATGCAGATAATTACATATTTAACAGTGACCTATCACAAAACTGTTGATTTGATAAAATGGAGTAGACAGAGTCAGCTTCTTGGTCTTTAATAGGGAGCTGGCCCCTGTGTCCATACCTCTTGTATGGCCCACTGTTGCTGCTGAGTATCTGTCCTATTTAGGGGGTTGTCTGAGAGCAACTGGAGGTCTGCCACTCAAGGCTTATGTGTGGGAAGTGTCTGTCCTAGATGAACTGTAGATCATTGATGATAGTCTTGAGTGGCTTTGGCTTGGCTGTTGTGACATCAAGTGGTAGTTTGTCATTTTCTGTTCTAGATCTGTTGTGTAGAAGATTGGTACCTAAGAACAGTTTGGCTTTGTTGATTTGATTTTTCACTTTGGGTGTCTGATGTGAATTATTTTTGTTGTGAGGCTCTGTCCAGTCTTATGAATCTGAATGGATGTTGTTGTATCATAGAGCTCAACTGTAAACAATGAACTCTTTAGTGTGCTCTGGGTGGAAGCTGGAAGCATGTAAGTATGAGTAACAGTCAGTAGGTTTCCTATATAAGGATGTGCTTATATGTCCATTAATAGTTGCACATTCATGTCCAGAAAGTGAACCTCTTGCACAGTGTGTTCTAGACTCAGGTTGATGGTGAGGTGATGTCCTAGTGGAACTGCGCAAGTGATCCCTTACCATAAGTCCAGATAATAAAGCATGTCATTGAAATATCAAATGGACTCTCATATTCCCTGGCTGACTTTGACAGCTATACCTGCAAAAACTACCGTGGCAAAGTCCTAAAGATGATATTTGAGGCAAAAGCATCCTCATGGACTCCTCCAGCTGTGATTTTCTCCAGATGTTTCTCCAGGAGCAGCTTCCTTATCCCCCTATTTAATCTGGTGGAGCAGTATAGTTCCATTAGATTGAATGTGGGGTTTAGACTTGTTTCCCTGTAACAGGTGTGTGTTCAGCAACACATCCTGGCTTCTGTCCCTACAGCAGGAGATTGTCTAGAAGGTCATGATCTAGGTTTTGGTTGTGTTCTCTCTCACGGTCAGAGAAGTGAACTAAGTGGGAAGGTGCTGTCTCTGCTCTCTCATCATGTAAAACTTGCTACTGCACTTAACTGGCAGGATCCTGTGCTCCTAATCTTCCAGAGATGGGGTAGCCAATGTGGTGCCCTTCAGATATTGCGGACAACAACTCCTACCACCCCTGTCCATTGGCTATGTTGGCTGGATCTGATGGAAGTTGCAGTCCACAACATCTGGAGGGTAGCTCTCTTTGGCTGTCTTTTTTCCAGAGCTTTCTAGAAAGTCTCACCAGTAGTCTATGCAGGTGTATTCTCCTATATTCCAGCATACCCACTTTTCATTGTACACGCTAAAGCAAAGAAAGACTAATTTGTCAAATTACATAACATATATTTTTTGATTAAAATCACTTCAGCTGATTTTAGGGTCTCTCTAAAAGGGTTCTTGGCATTGGTATGATCAGTAATAACTCTGGTAGCTTTTCAATCTAAGACTGATAATCAAACTTCAAGATTCAGGGCATAAATTTATTGCCTTTGGGGATCAGGAAAGAATTTCTTTTACTTTTCCCATGTAACTGCATTGTAAAATTTAGCTAAGTTCATTGCAGAGACTTTTCACAAGCCACTGCAGGACCTGTAGCTGGACTAATATCCTGATCCACAAGAGTAATTTGATGTAATTTCTTTTACTAGAGATGGCAATATATTTCTCAGGACTAGATGTATATGAGGGGATGATTTCTTTTCTAAACTGAATTTTTAGTGCAATATTTTATCATGGAGGACTTTTTATAGCAATTAAATTTTACATTAATTAACTAGAGCTCTATGGCTCAAGTGTAATTTATTTAGTGGAAAAGAAGGATAAGGGAAACTTAAAATCTTTACTATTGGGAGTTTGCCCATAAAATACACATTTAATCTGAAGAATGAAGCAGGCTGACTGTTACATTTCTGCTAACAGTGACACTATGTGGATGAAGTCAAGAATGCACATAGAGGATACATTTATGAGGAAACTTATTTCTAAAGATAGCTGAGATGGAAAACAACCAGCTATTGTCTTAGTCACACAGACATAACCTCCATCAGATGAAGTTTTAAATAATCTGGCTCAATCTGGATAGTTAAAACATATCTTTTTAATATAAAAAAATAAGCATATGTCTCACATACATATTTCTCACAGGATAATAAAGTGTTTTATTCATAACCTTTTAAATTCACTTGGTATTAAGTAAAGCTTTCATACTGAAGGAGCAAATAAATGATTGACGCTGATGTGTGCAAAGTAATGCATACACACATAACATGAAGAGAACTTTGCATTTCTGAGAGAGAGCCTGAGTCACTGCGAATCCAAGAGCATTTTAACAGTACTCATTATCTTTCAAGGAAGTGGGTCCTTGCATGATCACATGCAAATCTTAAAGCTGCTATGCAGAAGTAACCAGTGGAACCTGCAATAAAATGCTGAGATGTATCTTCCTTCCTAATAGGAGTGCTTCTGTTCAGGGTTCTAGCTAACTAGTCTCTCCAGTTAGGACATTCCACTCCTCCCCTATTCTGATATGCTCAATCCTCAAATCCTCATTGAGCTGGAGTGTGTTTTTGTGTGTGAGGATTGCTTGTCTTAAGTTGTCTTTTTTAAAGACTTCTTGTGCTTCTGCAAACTTTCAGGGCTTTCCCACAACATGCTGAGATTTCTCTTGTGTTTCTCAGTGGCCTCACGTTGGCCGTGATCCTGATAGTGCTCATCGCCTCAACATCCTGTTAAAAAGGAAAGATATACCGGTACTACATTTGCTAGAAAACATATTTGGACTAAAAATGGACTTTGTTGCAAGGCTCAAAGGTGCTTTCATGGTTGTGTGGTAAATGAAGTGTCTCCTCTGTTTTTAGAAATAGATCGTTCAGGAGTACTGTACTAAAAATGACTTGAAAGCACAACATGGTAAGACAGTCTCCATAAATACTGATTCCTTGCCCTGGAACTAAGGAGATGCTCAAAACTTTGTTGAGAGTTAGCTGGATAAACCTTTGTTGGATGGCAAGAATGTAATACAAGGAAAGTTGTTCTATTTGCAGTAGTGCAGAAAAAAGAAAAAAAATGATAATTGAAGGAAAAAAATCTGATGATGCGGTTCTCTTAGTAAATTGGGAACAATGACCCATGAAGGACTATAAAGAAAGTGAATGTCAAGATAATTTATTATTGTTACATTATCTATCCTTCCCCTCCCCCCTTTTTTTTTACTTTATCTTACTGAGTTGCTGTTATCCTTCCATGGAACCAAATATCCTAAACATTAATGAGTTCTTGCTTAAATCTTCACTGCCAATAAAATTGCTTTTAAGTTAAACTTCTGCTTCACCAGGTGATTGTGTGGTAATTGACAATACTACATAAATTGTTCTTCTGAAAGACTACACACAGAATGCTCAGAGGGAATCGTTTCACAGTCCAGTCACAAACCCCAGTTCACCAATAGGCCACTGGACACACTGAGGTCAACATGAGCAGGAGCGCCCGAGTTCTCTTCAGCATCTTGTGTATGGAGCATTTGCAGTAAAAAGAACGAATCAGACATTTCATGTGAATGTCTTTGTGTGTGCATGCCCTGGAACCCCCTGTATAGGTGTGAACTGACTTGAAGCAATGCAACAAGTATTCCAAGCAGTTGCTTGAGGCAGAACAATTCTAGACCTAATCATTTAGTACATCTAGTAAGGGGAGCAATATAGTGGGTGAACATTGGGATGCACTCCAGAATCCTGCAGGTCCTCTAATCAGGCATACTAGGAGAAGTGTGCCTCATGAGCCCTTGTGATATCACAGAGGATGCTGGTTCACAATAGCCTTCAATCAAGCACCACCTAGACCTTTTTAAGTGTCCACTTTCCAAAGCTGAACTGCCAGGACTAACAAATGCTGTTGCCCAAGCAACTTATATGTAAGATAAACTCCCAAAATACCCGCAAAACACCCTACATCCTCTCTTTGTCTCCTTTCTGCACACACCATCCTTGCTTGCATTTTTTTGAAATCAATAAGCCCCAATTCTTAACTTTCCTTTGTAGAAAAGTTGCTCCAGCTCCTTGGTCATTTTGGTTGCCTTTTTGGTACATTTTCCAACTCCACACTATCTTTTTTGTATTCCATATGTAGCTGCTCCATAAAGTCATTATGATGTTGGCATTTTGATTTTTCCTAATGATTCCTTTTTTGTAAATAAGAAATTGCAATGGATAATCCAGAAATCATTACAAGTGAATAGTTTTGGAAATTTTGGGTGATACTTTGGGGTGGGGAGGTGGGGAGTGGTCCGAGTTGGGAGTGCACTGCAACCTTTTTGGGGAAAGCCACCCATATTCTCAGGGATAAATGAGTGGGGGGGATTCATGTTAGAATAGCAGGTGATAAGTTCTGTAAGACAGAATGATGGAATTAATTCTAGTCACTAGAAACTAACTGCTCTATTTGTTTTTTCTCTAGGAGAGCCAGTTTTTATGCCTGTCGGCTTGACAAAAACTTGTATGTGATAGGTGGGAGAAATGAGACTGGCTACTTGTCAAGTGTGGAATGCTATAATTTAGAGACAAATGAATGGCGTTATGTATCTTCCCTACCACAGCCCTTGGCGGCACATGCAGGAGCTGTACATAATGGCAAAATCTATATTTCTGGCAAGTTGTTTTCTAAACTCCCCTTCATTGCAAAACAAAACCCAGTTATTCTTTTAAGGTGGGGTGCTTCCTTTAACTAATGAAGGTATATTTGATTTGTAGGAGGTGTCCACAATGGTGAATACGTTCCCTGGCTGTACTGCTATGACCCTGTAATGGATGTCTGGGCTAGAAAACAAGATATGAACACAAAGAGAGCAATCCATGCATTGGCTGTAATGAATGATCGACTGTATGCAATCGGAGGAAATCATTTGAAAGGTCACATTTTTAATAGCAAAACAATGTAATATTCTGTCTTTTGATAAACACTATTTTTGCTAGGTTAGTTAACTAAGTTTAAAACCCTGCCACACAATTTAGCATGATCCTTGAGCCAGCATCTTTGTGTGTGTGTGTGTGTGTGTGTGTGTGTGTGTGTATCACTACATTAAATAAATGAGTAATGAATGCTTTAGATAATACAAAAATGGGAACTTCCATTACTCAGAAGCATGGATGATTTGTCATCACCGTAAATTCACTGTAACAAACAGATTATTTCTGACCCAAATTGCCAACAGTATTTCCTTCTGTAAATCCTTTCCCAAGCTGGAGAAGAAGCTGTGCTAAGGCTCTGCAAAGAAACAAGTCCTTAATTTTAGGGGTAATATTTAACAACATTTAAAATCCCACACTCATCTCAAAAATTGTCTACGAAATTTATTTCTAAAAATCATTATTTGCATTCATCTTACTAGGGGCTACACCCCTGCTTGCTCCACTTGCCAACACCCCTGACCTCCCCCCATTAACCCTCTACAGCTTCCCTTTCCCACTCTATGTCACTACTAAGCTCACTATTCATCTTCCCATCCCATTTCTGAAGCCTCTGTCCTGTTCTGCAACCCTGCCTTGCACCTTTTTTCACCTTCACCCCTATGTCTATTCCTCCTCCTCCTCCCCCTTTCGTGTAACCTTGCACAAACAACCACCAGGGTAATCTCCTGCACCTTCCTCCTCCCACACCTTATAACTGCTAAGCACCTTTTTCACCTTCACCCCCTTTTCTTCTCCCCCCTCTTCTTCTCATTTCTCCCTTCCACACAGATAATCCCCATTTCCATGCCTTAAAAGTAAAGGGACCCCTGATTCATTAGGTCCAGTCATGGATGACTCTGGGGTTGCGGCGCTCATCTCACTTTATTGGCCGAGGGAGCCGGCGTCTACTATTGTCTAAAATACATAGCTTTCTTCCCTTTCATTGTTTCTCCCTTATCTCTGTACTCTAATTTCTCCTTCTTCCATTCTTCAGCTGCCTCGTGTGAGAGAGATAAAGGGCAGGGAGTGCTCAAATATTCCATAGTACCTTCACATTTCAGTCCTAGTATTTCACTCCTGGTATCATGAAGTAGAAAAAACATTCTAATCTCATATATCAGTAACTCCCCATGAATGTTCTTTGGCAACTAATGGCAGCCAATATGTTGTTTATTATTAAGGGGAAAAGCAAATGTTAGCTCAATGCTGAAGGTTGTGATGAAGATGACAAAAGGAAAGTATTTCACTTTCTTACTTTAAGAGGTTTTCTCCTGTTCTTTACAATTTAGTCTTTAATGATGAACTTACTAAGGTGGGCGAAGTTTTTTATGTCATTGATGAAGTACCATGTGCTCATTCTCTTAAAATAAGTGGTTTCACATTATTTGATAATTGTGTTGTACAGGTTTTTCGCATCTTGATGTCATGCTCGTGGAATGCTATGACCCAAAAGGTGATCAATGGAATATTTTGCAAACTCCTATTTTAGAGGGTCGCAGTGGTCCTGGCTGTGCAGTTCTTGATGACAGCATTTACCTTGTAGGAGGCTACAGCTGGAGTATGGTATGTATCCCTTGTCCGTACATGGATCTCTCAGTTATCATTTGAGAGCATGCTGCAACCTTTCTGCGGGAATGATACATATCTAAATAAATTGCTGTCAGAATCTTTGATGTATGGAAAATATCTGGCTGATTTATAACCTGCTTTGCAAAATCAGTAGTCATTATTTCTTTTTAAGCTATTAACATCAATCAATCAATCAATCTCCTTTACTGGCTTAAAAAAGTGCATCATATACATGGATCAGAACACAACACAGTTAATGAAATACAGTAGGAGATACTTTAGGATAAAACTGTCCAGATATCATGAGGTACAAAGATAGCTCTTAGGACCCATGGTGACGTAATTTCATAGTGTCACTCAAAAATCTTGCCACATTCTCCACAATGCCATTACTGCAATTGTTCAGCAGATAAGGCACCATGGAAGTGTCAGTGCGATAAATCCCCTCCTTCAATACTTATCAATTTTTTTATTTTTATTTTTGCATAAAATGGGCAGTAAAATAAAACATGTGTGATGTATTCGACATATTTTGTGCCACAAGGGCAGTATATTTCAGAGTATGGGATTTTTGAGAATCTACTTTGCAAAACTGCAGGTGGTAAGATGTTAAATCTTGCGAGGGAATATGGAGTGTCTTGGCCAAATGAGGGTAGTATTCCCAACCCCAATGGGGAACAGGTTTTGTTGGCTGCACTGCAAAGGGTTTGAAATTCAGTCTCTATAACGGTAATTCTTCACTTGATTGTCTGGAATGCTTCCAGTTGTGGGAGCACAAGTAGTGACTCAAGTGATAGGCCATAGGTTCCCATTTTGCTCTCAATGCAAGCTAGCCTTTTGGAGTGGCGGGCTTATGCCAGCATGTGGAAAGTGAAAGAAGCTGGATCGGACATGAAATGTAGGCAGAGTCAGAATTTTATAGTGGTGAGCCACGCTTTGGTTTCCAGCAGCCTTTGTCCAGTTTCCAGACACATGGCTGCAAAGCTGTTTACGTGAGAATGAAATTCTGAATTGAAGGGTGAGATTCTAACCATGCCAAGTTGTATGTGCAGAATATGCAAACAATCTATGCTACAGTTATTTATTGCCTTGGTGAATTTGTCCTTTATTCCAGATGTGAACTTTATAATCAAGCAATTTTACTGCTTTGAGAGGAAAGAGACTAAGTATATCCCTAAAAGCATGGGGAGAAGAGATGATGTGGGGGAATCTGACTATTCTTGGGCGCTATTATCCAGGCTGGTGACAGAGATTGGTTTTTACCAAGCCCCTGGCACTCTGTCATGATGCATTGCAACTCCTGAGAAGGAGGAGCAGCAGAAGCAGCAGCTATTGCCTCCTGCATTCTCTCTCTGAGTCTCTCACAAAGAGAAAGCAGGGTTGCTGACTAGATTGTCTGTTATCACTTCCAGCATCCTGCCAAACCCCCCAATTGACTGTCAGGAGCTCAAGCTCCCACTACCTTGCACTTGGCTCACCCAAAGCCCTACTTTCGAGATGACTCTACTATAGTTTTTTTGAAGTTATGACTAAATCAAGGCAGTGTGTGTGCATCTTAGTTGTAAAGGTTGCAGAGCAACCAAGGACCAGTTGTTTTCTAGTTGAAGCTGTTCAAATTTTGCTTGGATGTCATTTATCTGCTACCTCAGCAACACTATGTTGTGTTACAGGGAGCCTACAAATCTTCTACCATTTGCTACAGTCCTGAGAACGGAACCTGGACAGAGCTGGAAGGAGATGTAGCTGAGCCCCTGGCAGGTCCTGCTTGCTCCACTGTCATACTACCTGCGTGTGTGCCGTACAATAAATAACATACAGGAAGTACTGAAATGAACACTGTTAAATGATGGGTGACTTAACTATTTTAAGGGACAGAATTCCTGGTACTACATACAACAAGACCCTATCCCCAATACCTGCATTTATTATTTTAAAAAAGGACTAAGTATAGTTCCCACCTCAGACAGACCGGTATCTTGTCAAACAAGTAGCTTGAAAGCATGGAACACTGCACATGTTAACAGATGACCATTTCAGAGTGATCCTCACGTTTCTCTGCTATAAACCCTCATATCAATTCTAAATTTAAAGAGAAGAATTCTAAAGATCCAAACACTGCCTGAACGAACAAAATTACTATTGTGCATTGTATTTTACCTGCATGGGGTCTGTGTTGAAGTCATGGTGATGTTGCTCACAATTAATTCTAAACTGAGATGCCCAAATGCATTGAACTGCAGAATTGCTTCCCCATTTTAACCCTAACCTGTGGCTGCTGACATGTTCTGCAAGTAACACAACTTAAGAAGACAGATCATAAGAGTGAATGCTTCTGTTTTGAACAGATTGGCCCCTCATATAGTCTGCTCTGAAATCCCCATGCCTAAGTGTAGAAAAAAAAGTGGAAGTTTTTCAGATGTGTCACAATTGAGGTTTTAGGACTGGTGCCAATCTTTGATTTTATTTGCACTGGTGTAAATCCAGAGTAATCCATAGAACCTGATTTTATTATTCTGTATATTATTTTGTATTATTCAGATTTAAACATTCTGGCCTATACAAGTAATTCTTGTTTTTTTTAAGATTTAAATTATTCTTTAAATTAATTCATAAATTTCAGATACAAACTAACAAATATTTGAGTCATTTTGACTAATAGATTTGTTATTTTCCCCCATTTAACACCAAAGAACAAATTCTTTCTTAAAATGAGGATTATGTGGTATCACATATCATTGGCAAGTAGCTGTGATTCCTTAATCTGATCTACACTGAAATATTTATAAACTAGCTTTGCACCTGTGCTGAAAAGAAATATGGGCATAAAACTACCATAACAGGTATAAAGTTGAGTTAAGCTCAACTCAGTTCCAATAGGCAGTGCAACTGAGGCAATTTTGAGCCCAGAATGGGAGGGGTGTTGAGGATAAACATGCATTTGTGACCTTACAAGGAGAAATGTAGATGGGAGAGGTTTGGAGCAGAAAAGCAGTGGGTGCAGGAACAGTTAGTATGCCTCCCAGTCTATAAATTGCACTCTCTAGAAGCTGCTGATTCTTTTAAATTAAAAAGGGCCATCAGGGTTTAGTCACACTAATGTTTAACATCAAGTTAGGCCCTATATTGTTTTCTTCAACTTTAATGCAGTGGTACCTCGGAACTCGAACAGCTCCATTCTCGAACATTTCAACTCCCGAACGCCAACAAACCGGAAGTAAGTGCTCCGGTTTTCGAACGTTCCTTGGAACACAGATGTCCAACATGGCTTCTACTGTGCAAAAACCTAGCTGTTGGCCAATCGGAAGCCGTGCCTCAGAACTCAAACATTTTGGAAGTCGAACAGTCTTCCAGAACGGATTCTGTTTGACTTCCGAGGTACCACTGTATTTGTCATATTTGTGTAGCGTGCTAGACACAGCTATTTCACATTGGTGCTGTGCAAGGCTTTTGTAGAATGGGACACTTTGTCCCTACCTATCTCCATCCAAGTCCCATTGGGCGTCTTGCACAGGAATAAAGAATACGGGCATAGGAATATGATTTGATTGCTACTACCAATGGATGGAAATAAATTTTCATTCCCCCCCCCTTCTTAGGACTCTTATGTCAGATCCTACAAGCTGCACCACCCCTTCAGCAGCCAGTTCACACACTAACCTATAGTCTGTATGAAAAATAAAATTGTCTATTCAGAAATACAAGACAATATAGAATCAAATCTAGTTTTACAAAAATAAACCTTTATGTTCAAATCTCAGACGTGTAAGGGAACAACAGAGAGGCACAGGGTACAAGTAGGCAGAAGTCACACATCATAGTTGACCAAAAGGAAAGGTAGGAAACTCAAACTATAAGACTTAGGCTACTAAGAAAGTAATAAAACTGATAACAATAAATACTGGATTTCTTAATACTACTGCTACTGTTGTTTTGCTAATGCTAATTCCATTGTTGTCACTTGCAGAAAACTAGCAGAGATTCAGTCTCTTCAAATGTTGCAAATGAATTGTTTAGGGAACTGTATCTGAAGGGAAAAAGGGAAACATAGTGAAGTCCCTGTTACAGAGTTCCTGAAGCTGGAGTGTTTGTCCCGGAAACTCAACCCATTTTTCTTACGTAGTGCAATCTCTGTTAGTTTTGTATTTATTTGTGTTGTTCCGATCAAAAAAAATTACTTGTAAAATAATACGTTGTGCAATCATAACTTGGGGGTGGGGAGGGTTTTTAGAAATCTATATGTATATATAAATATATGGAAAGGAAACCTGTTACCACTCCAAATGAGAGAACATTTTATGGCATTTAAAAATACCAGGACTTGCCACTATGTTGTCCCATGCCACTGCTAAAATGCCACTTTAATGGGAAAGATGGGGGATTTCTTGTCCGTTTAAAAGTTCTTTTTTTAAAAAAAGACAAAGATAATTAAAGCATTTATGAGGAATATATGTAAATCTTTCTAATTTTTGGGAAGGCATGACCAAGGAAACCATACAAGTAACCAATAATGTAAATTTTGTACAGTACTAGAATGTGTAAATGAAGCTTGCTTGTAGGGCGAGGGGACTTTAAATAAAAACTTATGTACTAATGCATCTGTCTGACAAATCTCTGCTGCTGAAGAGTTTAAATAATCTAACATTTAATGTTTTGAGATCCTTTTGTCATGTAGGTGTGTGAACATTTGAGTTAGGTGAGTTAATGACTGTGTAGGCCTATTCATGAATACATGGAAGACCAAATCTTTTGAGGGGTTGAATGTCATTTATTTTTTTACACCTTCTTCTAAAAGGCCAACTCCAAAGTCTATCCTTGCAACTGAGACCTCGTCTCAGAAAGAAAGAAGGCAGCAGAATGTGGAAGTAGCTGTATATTTATATTTTTAAAATAATTATCATAAACTTAAGAGCGGCTGGTGGTGTGTTGGAAGAAAGAGAACAGGACATTTCATTTTCTTCTTGCTTTGTTGTAAGTTTTTAAAATTTATGGCACCCAAAGAAGGCTTACTAGTACTGGAGGTCAGAATGGTTAGTGGGAGGGGAAGATGCACTAATGAATTCTAGAGTGCTTGTAATGCCATAAAAGATTCAGTTAATCTGCAGCATAGATGTTGATCAGTGGAACTGAACTTGGCTCCCTGGACCTTGTCAGATTTATTCTGTGCATGTCAGTGTTCCACACCAATTACAGATTTTAGAAGAGGCTGTCATGCAAAACTCTGTGCCCTAATATATAAGCCAACTCAAATGTAACTAAAATTAAAATCTGACTGTGGCAAATCTCTATGATCCTGATATATGAAAATCCAAATAAATTATTTGTTCACAGAAATGAAAAATAACTTCAGCAGGAAATTTCAAAAAATTACTTATGCAGGATTAATCCAGTTCAATGAATGCATCTTGCGTTGATTAATAAAGCAGCCATGAATTGCAAAGTAAAACTACAGAAGCTGTGCAAGGACATTATCTTTTGTATCCCTTACTGAAGCAAAAGAAGAGCATATACCTCAAAGAGAGACGTGTCCACTCAGTGTATTATTTTAATTGTAAGGTACTGAATATAAACACATTTTTATTGCATTATTATCACATTGGCTTAGCCTCTGACCAGCTGTGGTTATATATTTTTTCATTCATTTTACTTCTCTGGAAAACAAAAGTTGCTATTTTACAAGTCAACATGGTGACTTAACCATGGCTCGGCTGCGTTTATTTTCCCTTCTGCTCCTTGTTCAGAAGCAATGCTATTCCTCTCTTCCATCTCCCCTCACATTTATACACTTTCTGTGTAGTTTTTGGATAAATGGCTTTGTGCATCCCATGATTCCAGACTGTTTTGCTTCCTAGTTCACTGCCCAAATAAATGCTGTAAACGTAATGAAATAATTTGAAATGTGAGCAGTGGGAAGAGATATTTTCCCTCTCCCACTAGATAAGGTGGTGTCATTAGATAAGTGGGAGAGGTATATTTGCTGCTGTTTTTCCATTAAGAAGGGAGATGGGTTGAAAGGAGGGGGTGAGTGTGTTGATCCCTGCCCTGTTTCACTGACAAATAGTGCCTGGAAGTCACTGAAGAAGTCACCTTGCCCTATATGATTGCAGAGACTGTATACTTTTGAAGCGCATTCTTTCCCTCAGAGAATTCTGGGCATTGCAGTCTACTCCTCACAGTCTTCCAATTCCCAGCAAGCCTCAAGAAACTACAGTGTCCAGAATTCTTTGAGGGAAAGAATGTGCTTCAAATGTGCTTTGAAGGTACTGTGTGTATGCAACCACACTTTTGCGTGGCTGGAATGTAGCCTTCTGTGCAAAGGTGAGAGTCACATCTATTGCTCAGACCACTTTTGCATCTGAGCACATCCGTCACTGGCAAGGGGCCCCCAGGTTTCCCCAAAGGGACTGAAGCTGAAAAAGGTCCCCCACCCTGGCCATAGGTCTAGCTACACTGTGAAATCACAGCAGCCTGAATTCTAAAATAGCTGCTCAAGGCTTGCAAGTGCTCCCAATATTTGAAGTGAACATTGTAGGTACAAGATGGGGAAAGTGGACAGATTGCAAAACCCATTTCTAGCTCTTGGCCAGATATAATACTAACACCAACAGGATTAGAGTTTTGCTCTTGTATTATGCAGGAGAAGTGTATGCTATAATTGACAGGGGGTGAAGGGCATTTCCAAACAGCATTTAAAAGCCACACAGACTATTTTAACTCTCAGACCAAATTAGCTGTGACACTTGTCAGATGGTTAGCCCTGGTATGGAAATGTTTGGAGCTGATTTTTTTAACAGCAGCTGGTACTGGGGTGGGCTCAAATCTCTTACACCAACCCCCTGCCCTGGCTGAAGTCATGGTCAAAATTTGCCTGCCTCTATTTGCAATGAAAGAAAAGCCGTCATTGGCACCAGCTGCAAATAGCAGGTGTGGAAGGGGCAAGCCTTAGAAAATATTTGTGCCCAGTCTGCAGCTACCCTTTGTATATATGCAACTTTTGATAATACTAACTGTCAAAGAGAAGCAGCATCTCAACAAGGATCACTGGATTGGGGCTACTGAGCTTCTTCTGATCCAAAACAGGATTTGATGTTGATACTTCATTAGCAAAAGAATAATATATTTGCTCTCCCACAAAAATGATGACTGCTCAAATCTTCAACTGGCATAAGTTTCGCTTAATGTAATTTACCCCCCTACATATGTAATAGGTTGTCTGAAGTATTACAATTATGAACTAGATAAATGATTAAATTCATGGCATTCCATATTAATGTGACACTTCTGAACTACACAGTACGTGTGTTACAGCATTTGGCTTTTAGAATTCACAAATGTAATATCATTCACTGCCGGGATCAGATCGTAGAATTCCATATGCTTATGTGTCATTGCTTCACTTGAATACCAGTTTTTCCCTTTTGTTATGTGAGTTTTGTGTATACATCATTTTCTAATTCCCTGTAGTAATATTTCTGTGTAATATTTAATTACCAGAACATGCAGTTCTATACCAGGTGAAAGTACTCATATTTTTATACATAGTTTGGACACAATCTTTTTCACATATAAAATAATTTGCAAGGTTCCTGTTCTTTTTCATTTGTACATAGAACTTAAAGGTACATGACCCATCTTTTTCACACAAACAGAATAAAGGAAGAAAAGATTTGCATACAAACAAGATGATCTTAAAGGAATATGCATTATTCTCATCTCCCATTGGTTGTGTACACTCTTAGTGGGGCTGGTGGTGAAAAAACACGGGCATTTCCAGATTCAGAAAGGAGCAGCTGCCTGCCTGGAAAATTCTGACTCAACCCCAAATTCTTGATTCTCGTTTCTGAAGTACCAAACAACAACAGCAACAACCATCTCCTGAAATACTCTTGAGAAGCACAGGAAACTAGATACCATAGTGATTCTGCACCTGAATTGTCTATGCCTAAATCTCTTTTGCCTAAAAAGTTTAAGATGTAATCTTAGAATCCATCAATGAGACTTTCTGCATCCTGGTAGACCTAATTGAATTGTGTCTGCATATATTAATTAGATCATCTCACACCTCCAGATCCTGGAAATTGTAATTGAGTGCTTATCTTCACTTATCCTAGTAATGCGGTGTTTGCCATGATCTATCCCCAATCTAAAAAAAAAAAAAATTGTAGCATGTTTGTCCATAAACCACCGAACCCTTTGAATAGTGGATGAACAACACCCTTACCATTGTTCTCATCCCATCCCCCTCTGGTTGGTTCTTACTGATAGTCCAGATTGCTACTGCATTGTTTGGTGAAGGATTTCATCCTTATTGCTGTGATTCTCTCTGCCAACATACAGAGGGGGGTGGGGTTGAGAAAGAAAAGAGTATGATGACTTCAAGGAGACAGTGAGTGACTCAGTGCAAAAAGGGTAAATTTCGTCTGCATATTCCTAACAGCGGGGACATTCTGCACATCTCCAGAGTGCACTAAGTGATGCAGTAAACCAATAAATTAGAAGAATGTAAATTCTTTAGTAGGAATTGCACACAGGGGAAAATGCTTCCTCATCCTCATATTTGTTTTCATGGAAATAATGTACACTCTTTCTAAAAATCAAACTGGTACAAAGCTGAGTAAGACATCAAAACCAGTTATAGATATTACGCTGAACTGCAAAATTTGCAGTAGTATCCTTATCTGTTATGATAAAATGTAAGAGTGATCACACAAAATAATCAAGCTTCAAGTAGAGGAGTTTCCTCCCCTTCAGTTCCATTACTCTCTGTCCATCTTATTTATTTCTCATTAGATAGATTTAATTATATACTAAAGGGCCAAGTGGCCTCTAATATTAATTTATGGTTTGCTTTTTATAGGTTTTCCAGGATTGCAACTTGTATAAATAGAGTTCATTTCACTTATCTAACAATGCAATCCTATTTTCTACTGATGTCTTTTTGAAGTTGTTCCAGTGGGGTATATTTACAGTGGTGTAGCAATGCTATTGTACTGAAGCTAGCAGGGATTTGTAGAACACCACACCAGGGAAACAATACCAGTGCAAGGGGGGAATTGATGGGTGTGGTTCGAGAGAGCCAGAAGTGGCCAACTTAGACTTCTATCCTTCCTTGAAGGCCATTCTGACTGACTATGCCAGGCATAGGCAAACTCGGCCCTCCAGATGTTTTGGGGACTACAACTCCCATCATCCCTAGCTAACAGGACCAGTGGTCAGGGATGATGGGAATTGTAGTCTCAAAACATCTGGAGGGCCTTTCACCTATGTCCTTCCACAGTTCGGCTTCCATTCTTAGACCGAGGTAAATTTCGCAAACCAGAACACTACTTCCGGTTTTCTGGAGTTCGTAAACCGAATGGTTCGTAAACAGGGCTGTTCTTAAACCAAGTGTTATGTACTGAGTTGAATAGGATCCCAAATGAAGCAGTCTGATTGGTCCTAGAACAATAGGATTCAGAATGCAGCAATCTGATTGGTCCTAGAACAATGCAGCAGTATGATTGGTCCGCAGGAGCCACCCAATCCAGCTCCAGGTGGAAGTGAATCCACAACCTGATTGGCCTACGGGAGAATCATGGAATTAGCCAATCACGTGCAGCCCAGTGTGTAAATAATGTATATAAAGCAGATATTGTGGGGGAACTTCCATTCCTCCTCACCACTATGAGCTGAATAAAGAGCATGAAATCCACTCTCGACTCCGAGTATATTTCACCAAGGTACCACTGTACTTCATTCCCCAGCAGAGTGGGAGAGCTTTGCACAGCTTCACAGGGCCCCCTTCAAACTATTGACAAGAGAGGGAGTCCAGGTTTGCATCCTGAACATGGGACTCAGAAGTCAGGGGGATTGTTTCAACTCAGCTCTAATTGTAATTAAAGCACACTCTCTGGAGGGTATAATGCTAACCCCAAGTTACACAGGCTGCACAGGGATAGGTTGAGCAGATCCCCTTGCACTGGCAGAACAAACATTTAAGTTGGTGTAGTGCAGAGCTTTCCAAACCATGTGTCATGACACGCTGGTGTGCTGACCTTGTGAATTTGCTCTCACTGTCCATACATCCTTGTCCATGTGGGCCTGTCTCAGGTGACCAACACAGCAATTTTAGTAATATAATTCTGCTATGTTATGTCTCTACATTCATTTACATTTGCCAGAAATATACTTGTATCTCTTAGGATTTCGACCCTTACTCCTTTAAAATGATTGCAGGATGTGAAAAATGAGCCCCTTTCACCCCAAAAAATTAATTTCACCCATTACATTAAGAAGCAGGTCTGCACACTTTCTATCTTTCAAGGATTCTACGCCTGACTGCATTTATGTTCTCATTTAGCATCTCAAAATGGGCACTTTCTTTCAAGAAGGATTACTGCATGAAACACCTGCTTAGTTAATCTGACTTATTAGCATACTGTCACCCATTAACTGCATTATAACAACTATAGTTCTTACTATTCTCCACCACCACTCCAAAGCAGATTTCTCCAGGTTTGCAAGGGCATTTGTTGCTTTCTGCCTTTTGCAAACCGTGGTATTTACCAATCCAGCACAGTATCTGCTAATAATTTTGGGAGGGATGAAATCATTATGAATATCCTGCAGAGCTCCCTCACATAGGCCATAATCTTTCCTGGTGATTTATTGGAAAATATTTTAAAATCAAGTCCTTAATATGGCAAGAAGCCACTTTGAAATCCAAGCAGTTCTCAGGCATCTCTTCAGACTCCAAAATAAAGACACGGAGGAGTAGAATTACAGATTTCTTTTTCTTATGTATGGTAATTCATAACAGGCAGATTGGAGCTAACATCCCTAGTAGGAAAATTAACCATTCAGAACATGATCTTATTGCTCACAAATATTTTAGGTGTATATTGCTATTCACAAGGGCACACACTTTAGAATTCATTTAAGATTTGTGGGTTCTTGGAAGCATGATTCCATTAGGTAAGCATGCATTACAAGCTAGGAATATTCTTCTTCATAGAGGTGATTCTGGAAACGGTAGGTGCATAAAAGATTAGGAGAGATGGGCAAAGCCAATGCCTGCAGTTCTGTCTGAAATTTTTATGGCGAGGACCAACTTCAAGAACATTTCAGTTGGATAGACTACAATCAGCCACTAAATCAATATATTGGCCCTTTAGATAAGTCATTTGATTTTCCAAAAAAATGAGAGATATTTCCATTGTCACATTTTTGTACAGTACTTGCATTTTTAAAAGAATGCAGAAGAACATTGGAAGCAGCCAAGTAGCTACTTTTACATCCCACTGTGCATGCACAAGCCACAAAATGGAATCCGCTGGAAAAATTGGAGAGGTTAAAAATATATGATCCCCTTCACACATAGCTTAAATGAAGGGGCTCCACATAGTTAAATGGGTGGTGGGTCTGCAATAGGCAAACTTACACACATAGACCTCTATACATGTAGGCTTCCACAACTGCTGGAAACCTAATCACACAGGCTTCCAGCTACCACAGAAGTCTGTGTGAGTGTGTCGGCTGCTTCACTGCAGGCATCCATATGCAAGGCAAGGATGTTGTCTGTGGAACTGGGCAAATTTGCAGTTTGACCACTGCATGGAGCCCCCTTCAAATTATTAATGTATGAAGGAGCCTGTGACCCTTCCTTCTGTCCAATATTTTCCTATCTTACATATGTGAAGGTGGGGCCTTCCTATTCAGTTTCATAGAATCACAGAATTGTAGAATGCAACTGTCAAATAACTTGCTACTAATCCTCCATTCTGAAGACAGATTCCAAGAAAAGAGGGTCAAATCAAAATGTTCAGTTTCCTTTGAATGCCACCCCTGCACAAGTCAGTATGCTTTTGAGTTATATTCTGTCCATATCTAAAGCAGTGGAGACTTTTTTTCTTTTTATTAATTTCCCCCCTGTCCCCACCTGCACTTTTCTGCAAAGAAACAGAAATAGTTTTGTAGGAACTATTTCTTTTTTCGATCTCTTTATCTACACACACACACACACCTATACACACACACACACCTATACAAGAATGCAATGCCTAAAAACCTTTGCTCGCTATTGCAGCATATTTAGTCAACAGGTAGTTGACATCATTGATCAGAACAATAAAAAAACTGGAAATAGCTTTAAGAGGTTTTTTCAGGCAGAAGCTTAAGAGAAAAGGAAAGTGACTGGAGATTCAGGAGGGAAGGGTACAAAATCAAGTAGAGTATTTTTGAGGGGTGGGAAAGAAAGAGACTCACACAGTGCATAATATTTCATAAATTAGGAGATGTACGTTTAGAATGCTGTATGGCCTATGCCACTACAAAGAATACAGGATTCCCAAACTGACAACAGAACTCAGTTTAGAACTCAGTGAAAGGAGGACAACTAAAGCCAATAACCTTTTTAGGAATGAGAGTGGAAATTAAGCTACTTTAGTTTTCAATACATTAATTTAAAAAAACCAAAACCTGAAGCTGTAGCCATTCAGTTGCCTACCATTAATTGTCAAACCCCAAATAAGGACACATAACTTTTATCAAGTGAACATGTTGCGTTATGTTTTATTGCCAGTAAAACAACTCACAGGATTAGACATTAACTTCAAAACCATTAGGGTGATTCATTTCAACTTTTCCAAGTCCTAGCCATCATCCACCTTATGAAAGGAACAATGAACTGAAAAATAAAAAAATTCTCTAGGAGTACCTATGATTTAATCAATTTCCACACTAATCGTGGCTTCCAATTCCAGCATTTTCCCTGTTACGTTATCTTTTAGATATGATCTAATAAGACAGATAATAACCAGGGGAGCTTGGTTAGTGTGTGGTGTTGATAACACCAAGGTTACAGGTTTGATCCCCGTATGGGACAGCAGCTGCTTATTCCTGCATTGTAGATTGGACTGCAGGGATCTGCAGGGTCCCTTCCAACTCTCATGATTCTATGATCTAGGAAAGCAGGACTTCAGTGTTTTTCCACTGAGCAGTGGTAACATATAAGGCCACTTCAGGATTGGACCACATGCCTGGGAGTCTGAGCTGTGGCGCAAGGACTTGTGGATGGACTAGTCTACAACCACCATCACCCCCAACTAGTCGAGAACGGGTTGTCACATCCGCCGTCATGTCAATTCTCCCTCTGTGCTTATAGCAGCTGCGTGGTAGGCAGCCAGGAGGGAGGGAGGGAGAGGGGGAGAAAGAGAGAAAGAGAGGGAGGGAGGACAGCTTGACCAGTTGAATTTCTGCCTGAGACACCACTGTTCAAAGGCACAGGGAGCCCTGCTCTGGGGGCATATAGTTAAGCAGCAAAACAGAAGTCGGCTCGCTGTTGTTGGGGGGAAATGCAGCTCCAATCTCTCGCGTAAGCCGAGGCTTGGCGACGCTTCGGAGAGGAAGGCGGCGGAGGGAGGAAGGGCGGGCCCTCCTTTGGCCGCGTGTCTGGAGGTGGAAAGGAGCGACGCCCGACGGGCAACTTTCGGTTCAGTCCTGCGCCGGGAGCAGCTGCAGCCGCTCTGCTCTTTGCTTCGTGGGCCATGGCTCAGCCGGAGAAAGTACTGCAGGCCAAGATAGTAATGGCCGGGGACTCCTACGTGGGGAAAAGCTCGATCCTGAGGCGATACACCGAGCCCTGCCCAACCAAGCCGTCTCCGCCCCCTTCCTATATCACCACCGTCGGTGAGTAATCGCTCTTCCGCCTGCAGCTGCCATTCACTTGCCCGCCTCCTCCGCTTTCCTTTCTTATCTGCTCCACGTACCCGTTCTGGCTGCTCCCCACCCGCTGCCTGTGGGTTCGAAAAGCAGTTTATTCCCTTTTATAATAAGGCACGCGCGCGCACACACAGTCGGCGCGCTGTAGTTTCATCTATAATGCAGCGTGCAGTCTTCCAACTCACACAGAGTTCTGTCAGAAACTTCCAAGTCTGCCTGAAGATCTCTGTGAAGCTTGAAGACACTGCGTGGTAAAACTTCGCAGCTATTAATTCAATTCTCAAACCTTTTATTGGCGTCACATACAGACATCCATAGCAAATCAATACAGAATTACCGCCGTCCCAGTGACACAAGACATTTGTCAATTGAAAGAGGCAAAGCAGTCTAACATTACATCTCTAGGTCTTCAGGGAGATCAGACGTCTGCAATGTGTTTCGACGACAAAAAACCAAATACAGTGGTACCTCGGGTTACATACGCTTCAGGTTACATACGCTTCAGGTTACAGACTCCGCTAACCCAGAAATAGTACCTCGGGTTAAGAACTTTGCTTCAGGATGAGAACAGAAATCGTGCTCCGGCAGCGGGAGGCCCCATTACCTTAAGTGGTGCTTCACGTTAAGAACAGTTTCAGGTTAAGAACGGACCTCTGGAATGAATTAAGTACTTAACCCTTGTTATAAAGAAACGCATTATGGCCTGCGTAGACATCTTACTGGCATTCACTGCTATTGCACAGTGCTAGGACCATAGAAGCCTATGATGGAATGTGATTCCCAGGTAGTTGAATTCAAATACCTGCTGGATGGGTTTTCCACCAAATACCCAGCTATAACATTTGCGTGAATTCCCAAAAAACATTATTTTGCTTTTATTAAAGTTCATGCACAATTTCATTCTGGACAGATAGTCAATACAGGAATTTAACAAACATTTTAGGCCAATTCTTGTCCGTGAAAGCAAAATCACATCATCTGCGTATAGAAGGATAGGAATGCTTGATGCATTGAGTTTTGGGCTGTGGGCATCCACCTGTTTTAGTAAAGAAGCAAGGTTGTTAAGAAAAAGGTTAAAAAGAGAGGGAGCGAGTACACAGCCCAGCTTTACTCCTCTGTTTATAATGACAGGCTCGGTCATTACATTCCCTGGTGTTGTTCTTACGTGACAGGTGTTCTTTATGTGAAGCTTTTTGATCAAGTAAAGTAATCTAGGTTCTAGGCCCATCGTCTCCAATTTGGACCATACCAGCCCCCTGTTGACAGTGTCAAAAGCAGCCTTGATATCAAGGAAGGCCACATAAAGACATTCTTTATGAAGCCGTGTGTACTTGGTGGCTAAATGAGATAACACCAAACAGTTGCGTAAAGTACCGTAGATTTCCCTGGCCTGAACCCTGCCTGCTCTGGACCTATGATGTTATTCCCATCAAGCCAAGTAGTTAGTTTATTTAACAGATGTTTAGCATACAATTTCCAGATGTTTGACAGTAGACTTATTGGACGATAATTGGATGGCAGCTTTTTGTCACCCTTTTTAAAGATTAGGATAATTATAGATTGCTGCCATGAGTTAGGTATGATACCAGATCTATCTATCATAGAATAGTTCTGCTAGTATCGGAGCTTGGCTTGGCTTTGATCAGTTCAGATGGAATAGCATCAGGGCTATTAGCATTTACAATGGCTTCTCAAGTTTGGGTCTGGCACCCATGGACCCTCCTCAACACCCACCTTTTCAGTGAAGCCCTTGACACAACCATGAGTGTAGCCAAGGGGGAGCAGGGGGCAGCTGCCCCTCCCCCGTCAAGAAAAATCAAGAAAAACACTTCACTAACTGAGGTTCTGCCACCCCCCAAACAAAAGCCTGCCCCCCTAACAAAGATCCTGGCTATTCCCATGAGCACAACCCCCATACACATAGCTGCTGTAAGCATGTGTAACAGGCTTCATTCAACACACTGGCAGTTACTTCCAAGTAAATGCATGCAGAATCATACTGTGAAGCAATCAAGTATTTCCCCTATTTAACTTTGCTTTCCTGTGTTTCCTGTTTCAGTTTTAATAGTCAGGGCCATTTAGAGAAGTGTAACTACTTTGCAGATTGCACCTGGAAACTAGACTCAGTGGAAGTGTGCCTGTGTGTGTGTGTGTTTTAAACATTGTGGGAAGTTAGAATGTAAGTAGTTTAGCATTACATTCCACTAATTTTGTGCACTAATAATCCACATTATGTATTGTATAGCAACAGAGGACACACTTCATGGATTAAAAGTGTACAATATAAATACACGAGGTGTACACTGTCACACTGGAATCTGCTATATACATGTATTCCACATGAACATGTGGTTGCAAGCTCCCTGAATATTCAAGTGTATAAGGTAAAGGGACCCCTGACCATAAGGTCCAGTCGCGGACGACTCTGGGGTTGCGGCACTCATCTCGCTTTATTGGCCGAGGGAGCCGGCATAGAGCTTCTGGGTCATGTGGCCAGCATGACTAAGCCGCTTCTGGCGAACCAGAGCAGCACACGGAAACGCCGTTTACCTTCCCGCTGGAGTGGTACCTGTTTATCTACTTGCACTTTGTGCTTTCGAACTGCTAGGTTGGCAGGAGCAGGGACCGAGCAACGGGAGCTCACCCCATCGTGGGGATTCGAACCGCCGACCTTCTTATCGGCAAGCCCTAGGCTCTGTGGTTTAACCCACAGCGCCACCCACGTTCCATTCAGGTGTATAGTACATGTGAAATTGCTTTTGGACTAAAATGCCAACAAGCAAGCACAAAAAGTCCTCATGCAGTGATGCCCTATGGTCATGTCAAATGTTATTTATGTAAAGTACACGCCATCACTAATTCAGGTGTTGTGAAATAGTGATGGTGTGTACTTTACATAAATAACATTTGGCTACTGCATGCACTACTGCATGAGGACTTTTTGTGCTTGCTTATTGGCATGTTAGTACAAAAGCAGAGTTGTGGAAAGGTGTATTTGCAAATAACGGTGTGTCGTGGTGCAGGGATATTTGCACCTACATTGTTTCTTCTGTGTATAGTTTGGCCACCCTGTGGATAGCCTGAGGTTATTATCATTCTCTACATGAATAGGTGGAAGGAGCCACTGATCATGGGTGCTCTATAACCTGTGGGGATCAAAGGTACTGAATGAATTATATTAAAATCCACAAAGAAAACTAGCTAACTTCAGGTTTTATTTCTCTAAGATATACTGAGGTTGCAATGCTTAGCCTTAATGTTCATCCCATAAGGAGTGCAGCTGGTTGGTAGAACATCTTCATTTGAAGCAGAAGGTCTCTGGTTCAATTCCTGGCATATCTAGGTAGAGCTAGGAAAGACTCCTGTTTGAAATCCTGGAGACCCTCTGCCAGTCAGCATAGGTAGACCAAGGGTAGTCAACAGGGTGCCTTTCAAATGCTGCTGGGCTGCCGCTCCCATCAGTCTTGAGCGTTAGTCAAGCTGGCTGGGGCTGATGGAAGACCAACAACATCTGGAAGATGCCATACCTGTAGAAGAAATACTAAGCTAAATGAACCAATGGTCTGACTCTGCATAAGAGTCTATGTTTTTCCTGGCTTCTTGCATGATTAGTGAACATCTGCAGAGGGAACCTTTGTGTTTTCAGTGGAAGCTCCTTACACATTGACAGTGCTGATCTCCTGTGCAGCCCCAGCTGTACTGTATTGCTTCTTACAACTATAGTGCCCGAAGAGGACTTAATTCTATAGACATCTGAGCAATTAATCCTTTCAACTCTCATGTCTAGCTTTGATGTCTGTGGACATTTCGTTGCCCAGGAGAATCAAGATCAGATTAAACCAAGGACTGAAATGCTTGCATTGTGTGTCTGTGATTAATTTGGGAAATTATTGTTGTGACTGGCACATACAAAAAAAAAGTGTGTGTGTGTTCTGCTACTTGAATTATTTTTAAAAGGACTGGTTACAGTGGAAGATTCCCAGGGCTTATCATCTTTCCTTAGGCCTTTCTGTGAGGATGACCTCAGGCAGCCAATCCCGTTGGGTTGGTGAAGAAATCTCTCTGAAAGGAGGGAAGCAATATTACCCATTGCATGTTGCATCCTGTTGTTCTAATGGTAGAAACATTTATTTATGTTCCTTTTAGAAATGTTGTGGGCAACAACTTGTAACACACAGTGTACTGGGAAAACACGTTCCTCATGCCAATGTCCATTGCTGCCCTTGCTGTTCATGTTTTGTTTTCTCTCAGCAGTCTGGGGCCTTCAAATCACAAGGAGTGTTTCCCTTCCTTCTGGTGTGATCTTCTTAATATACTGTTTATACATCTTGTTTATTAATAATAATTCACTGCCATCAGTGTAATGGCATTTTGCAGATTTCCATAAGCAAAGTCCCTTCCCCCAAGGACCTTACTGTCTAAATTTTGATAGCAACAACTGAGAAAGGGAAAACAAATGGATGTATGTGAACAAATGCTTTTTAGCATGATTACAACTGAGCATGGCTAAGTATTTACTGTTACAGCCATAATGTATATTTCAATAGACTCAGATAAGTGTAGTATTGTAGAGTTGGAAGAGATCCACAAGGGTCAGCTAGTCCAACCCCCTGCAGGTTTTAGCTAAGGGCTACTTAGAATCCAACAGGTTTGGTAATACTTAAGATTATTGAATTAACTAAATTAAGTTCAACTGATTCTGTCCTGGGTTGTGGTCATGACTTTTTTAAAAAGTAAATGTGTTTTTCATATTGGGAATCACTCTCATTCCCCTTTTTTTAAGTGGCATATGAATATGTAAATGCAACAGGTACTGGGTACTTACATTAAAATTATACCGAAAAATCCTCTTGTATACTGAGTAGTACTTTGGGCATCCTGGAGTCCCACTGATTTCCATTTGATTTCTCAAACTGAATAAAAATGTCAGAATCTTTATGAGAGGTAAATGAGTTAAGACTAGATTC